AAAAAAAAAAACTAAACCCAAATTATGACATCAAAATAAAAAACAAACAAATCAGTTATTTTAATGCAATCAATGAAACAGTAAAAAAGTGGCTTTATAAAGAGTATATATACTGCACGCTATATACATACTTCAAACAGTTGAAAAAACTAGTCAAAATTGACAAAAATACTCCCTTTTTTCCTCAACCCTTCCCTTTTCTTTATGATTCCAGCAGTCTGTACCTTACCATCGATTCAGTCGGTATTCGACGGCGATTAGGAAAGGGTGAGAGTGAAAGAGAAGAGGAGGCGTATTATAAAAGGACAATAAACTCTTCGGCTTGGTTTTGATTTACAGGTAAGGAGACGGAGGCCAAATTACTAAGTGTTTAAAATCTTACAGAACTGAACAATTTTCTAGCCCGAATGGAGAGGTAAATACAATTCCAGATTTGATTTTAGTTGCTTAACGACGACAACAATAACAACACTTCTCAGTAAGCAATAGACTAAACTATAGAAGAAAAGAAGAAGCAGGGAAAGAAGAAGAAGAAGAAAAAAAAAAAATAAGAATAAAGTGAAAAAGAAGATGCATTAGCAAATGCATTTTATTTCTTAACTTAAAAACTGACTGCTTCTGCATCTTTATTCATCTTTTTTATGTTTGATCATCTTCTTTAGAAACTTTTACTTGTTTGGTAATCTACCAAACAATAACACCATTATCAGCGCTCAATCAACTTTATAGTCGAAAATATACTTTTAAACGAAATATATACTGTTAGCAAATTAGAATGATTTGTAAACAACAGCAAAAAAAAAAAAAAAAGTTGTAAGAAATATAAGAAAATACTGTCAAACAACGTCGGCGGTAACGTCAACAGTAAAAGCAACAAACAACAAAGCTACTGATATATACTGTTGTTGACAATTTTTTGTTGTCAAAATTGACCAAAAAACAGTAACAGTAATCTCAGGTTACCTATCAAAAACCTTCTTTTCTTTACAAATATACCATTAAATTTGATAATTTATACTGTAACAAATATGTCTAGTTTCTCGTTTCTAAGTAAAAAGAAAAAACAGACCGACATTCAGTAACTGAAAAACTTGTTTTACCGGAACTCTCGAATTACCTAAAGAAGCGATAATCATTTAAATAACTTATAATCATATTCTTATTATCGTTTAAAACCTGTGCAACAGTAATGAGAAATTTTATCAAAAGATTATTAAAGGTACTGATATTGAAAAAAAAAAAACAATTTTATTTGCTATCCACTGTTTAAATATGTATCTTTTATACCACTCACATTAGCTTTATGTTTAAAAATTAGATAAGCATCTTTATCGTGCTGTAAATAATACGAGTTTCGCCCGATAAACTCTATAAGATGATGAAGGCAAACAGAATGAAGAGGAGAAGACTATTACGACGATAAAGCTGTAGAAGACAGAGAAGAAGCTACTTTTCCGTAACACCTGCACATCACCATCAACAAGTCTCAAAAACTAAAAAAAAAACAAAATAAGCTTATAGAAATTAAAGAAAAGTCGTTATGATAATTGTCTCTCTAGTTTCTCGTTTATAAGAAGCCGCAAAAAAAAAGAAGAACGACAGCACTGCTGCTGCAGCGACAACACCGATAACCATAGGTATGACAGCAATAGTTTAGAATATTAGCTTTTAGTGGGTTGAGACTAAAAATATCAAAACAAATACCAGATAATCACATAAGTACTAAGAAATTTTATACAGGTAAACAGAGCTTAATAATGGTCATGCATAGCCAGTATTGATATCAAACCTTCCTACACTAATGTTTCTTTTGTACTGTTCATCTTCTCATCGTTTCTTTCTTTCCTATTTCCCTCAATCTTCCCCACTACTAAACTGCAGTCAGCTAAGAATCAGTACTAATTCTAAAGCTATAACATACACTTACAAAATCAAAAATACCTCTGACATTTCTCAGAAACCTATAAAACAGGAATGAAACTTTAAATTCAATCATTGTCTTTTCCTCAGTTCGTTATTTCTTTCTATTTCTAATTATAAAATTAAAAAAAATATATTGTTTTATAATCAGCAACCAAAAAAAAAAAGAAAAAAAAAGCAAACAACGTAAAAATTTTTTTATCAAAATACAATAATTGAGAGTAAAAAAGTTTGGTTTCCATTCTCGTAAATAATAGGT